AATACCCGGACAGACGAACACACACACACACAAACATACACACACACACACAAACACACACACACACACTGACAGGGTTGTTCCAATATGCGTTTTTGCTGCCTGTTGCAGCGCTTTAGCGCTGCACCGCAAAAACGCATAAAAACGCAAAAAAAATAACACAGAAATACATTCAGAATGAGTAAATCCGACTGCTATTTTCTACCTTGAGATAGAGTCATCAGCGTGGGAAAGAAAAATACAAAAATTTGAGTTCACGGGGGTACGCTGATGTTTCTGGAATCAACTGCATGGCTGAGACTTTGCCACAAGGCGCATTTTGGCTTGAAGAGCATCAAGTTGTGAATGAGCAATACAGTGTTAAAAATTGCGATATGGTACAATGCAAGTGGGTCCTGTTTGAATTGATGCAATTAGGAACATATGCAAAAATGCATCATTACGTGAGCACATTGATACAGGTGAATGTTTTCTGCAAATTTTAACGTATTAATCTAGATACGTGGTACAACTGCTTATCCATACAGTGGTTATGTGCCAGTGCTTGTTCGCCACATCGAAATGGGCTTACGGAACGGTTGGCGTGACTGGACAACAATTCTGAGTGATGAGCAGCAACTAGAAAGCAGTAGGAGCACAAATACGGTCATTTTTGTGATTGGCGGTATTACACAAGCTGAGTTAGCTTGCCTCCGAGCAATACAGTGGCCGGCGCAGCAACGGCTGACCGTCATCGCTAGTGCTTTAATTACTGGGAACAAACTAATCTCTGCTATCCATAAACATTGATTATACACATTGTTCAATCTTGTTACTGTACACATGTCTTGATAGTGAGTGATGTTCTACTGCTTTCTGTAGAGGGCGCATGCATTGGAAGAGCGGAAATGCTACAGAATGCACCAAAGCCACCTGCATAAAGCCTTTGGTCAGGGCATTAGCATTCCTCCCCTCTTTATTTCATGCGTTCCGTATTCACGCTACTTTGGTACAGGATGAAACATGAGATTTTAACACGGGCTGCTATGTAAGAACTACAGCTTTCAAGCGTTTTTTTTTCTTGCATTAGTAAAAATTTTTATGGTATAAGTGTTTACGTGTGTGGATCGCTGTGTGGCGTGGTGCTCTGAGCGTACGCGCACTGTGTAGGAGCAGAATCAAGTTTATAACTTACTGGTAATAAATCGTGCAAACAGCAAATAAACAGCACGAAGTGTGGCGCTTATAATCTATCGAGTATGTGAACTTGCCGAGCAAGAGTCGTTATAACAGAGCATGGTTGATGAGGGCCAGGAGTATATGAGACGAGGTCGAGTCCTTGAAGAGTCCGTCGAGGAGACTGAGAACCGTTGTCCCGGAGGGGAGTGAACTGAGACCCCGAAGAATGGTGGGGAGGTTTATAAAGGGTGTAGGAACCGCCCCAAAAGAGGATGTGATGGTTTTTTGGAGGGGTTGAAAATGTAAAAATGATAATTAAGGTAAATTGAAATGTGAAAAGGGAAAATGGAAATAAGGGTTTTTTAAGGGGGTTAAAAAAAGGGGAATGAAAGGCAAAATAAGGAAGTAAAACGGTTGGGAATGCAAGCGCATTCCAAAATAGGAGCAATATGGGATAAAGGGGACGAATGTATAATAAGGTTTTTACGGGTGTAAAAAAAGGAAAGAGGAAAATGTAGAAAACCGTAAACACGCAAGAACGCAAATTGCATTATGATTCATAGGGCAAAAAGAGGAAATAAAACAGAAATAAAGGAAATATTATATAATTTTATAATTAGAGCACAAACTTCACATCTCCCTCTTCCGGAGGAGGCCGTCCCTGGTCTCAATAATAAAAGATATATTTTATATAATAGAAAAGTGAGCCAGGTTAAGTTATGGTCATCATTAACAAGGTCAAGGAGGCGTAAAGCCAACTATCTAAACAAGGACTTTTGCTGCCTTGTGCTTGCACATTGCAAGACTTGTGGGTTAATTAGAATGGTGACCTAATAAATATTATGGCTACTTTTTTTTTGAACTGTACAAGCTAAAATATGATATAAATTATTTGGAATAGTGCGGAATTATTGGAATAGAATTTAGTAGAAAAAAGGGAGAATAGTGTAGAAAGTAGGATTTTGAGGGGAGAAAAAAAGTGATAAAAAAAACGATGGGTAAAAATGACCATAAGTGTGGGTAGGGAAAAGTGCCAAAAGGGAAAAAGGAGGTGAGAGGGTTGGAGGTTAAGGGGAGGAAACACCCTAGAACCCATGCGCCGACATTACAAAGCAACAAACATAGGTAAATGAATAGCATACTAAAAATGCTCAAGTAACACAGTTGATATAGGGGCTAAAAGAAATAACGATAAGCAAGTAACTGGTAAAGTGCATGTATAGTAAAAACGAAAAGCGCATTCGATCAATAATAGCACTTCTGTAATGAACATCAGAAAATAAATGTAAAAAGGCACATGAAAACAAAAATGCATAATAACGGAACGCACAATTGATCAATAATTGTGTGTTTGTAATGGATATCGGAAATAAGTTTTAGGCGCATCAGAAAAAGTAAAAGTGCATCAAAACAAAAATGCGTGTTTATATACTCATTAAAATTAAAATCACTAATATGAAGAGAAATATTGGTGACATAGTCAATATGAAGCGCAATGCCTGGAACCGATGTGTAGGATACTGCGCCATGAGTCTGGTCGCAAGTATCTCAGGTGATGTTAGCAGGATTTCTTTTGCATTTAGAAGCTTCCTACCAACTGACGACGTTTCCGGTTGAACTGAATCCAGTTGCCAATTCGCGTCTGCCAGACAGGGATCAAGTATATCAACAGTATTTTTTTTTTGCGTCCGGAAATCTGTTATAGCACCATGCGATCCCTAACGAACGCACCTTTTGCACGGCCTGTCTCGCCAAAATTATATATGCTGTTGGCTTCCTAGGTGGACCGTTGCCGTTATAATTCAAAGCATTCCTAGAGTGTGGCCACAAGTAGAGCCCAACCTGAAGTGATGTTAGCAAACCTGGAAATAAGCGTTAAGGTGTTACCGTCCAGATATTCAGACGAAATGGCTCTGTAGTCATATTTCGTTTATTAAAGACGTCTTTTTTTTTTTTTTGAGAAATTCCAAAGCCGGCTAACGCATGCGGCGATTTTTTTCTTTTATTTTTAAATGGGAAGGTTACTAATATTAATCCATCCAGTCTCCATTCAGTTGGCGGTGTTGCGCAGAAAGGATAGATCCGCCGTCCGCGGTGCAAAAAAGCTCCACGCCGGTTGCGACAGGTATTAAAGAAATACACACACAAAAAAAAAGCATAAAAAATAAAGAAAGGGAGTTTTGGGGAAGTGGCATTGCGTGTCGAACTGGGAGAAGATATCCCCGGGAAAGGGACGGCGACCTCGGCAGGATGTGGCACCTGCATGAATTGTAATCCTTAACTGGATATTATTATCTGCATTCGCTGCTTTATGTAAATTTTTAATTTTTTTCATCAGCAAGATTGGCTGGATTCGCAATGAGGATGCAGCTACGATTACTCACCATGTTGTCGACGGCTATCTAGATGTTTCTCTTTTTTTTCTTTCTTTAACAGCCGTGCAGATTAACTGCATTGCTGGTTTATTCATCATTCTACGACGCGAAGAGGACGGGAGCTGTGCTCCCCTTCCTCTAACCCCTTTTTTTCTTTTTTTTTTTTTTTTTTAT